TTGATTACCCACAATAAATGCGGGAAGAGGGTTGAGTATCCACTATAAATTCGGGAAGACGGTTGAGTACCCACTATAAATTCGGGAAGACGGTTGAGTACCCACTATAAATTCGGGAAGACAGTTGAGTACCCACTATAAATTCGGGAAGACGGTTGAGTATCCACTAAAATAATCACCTTATTCTCTCAGCTTCCTTTTTTTTTGTAGCTTAAAAAAAAGAAGAAGAAGCTTTGGTTTGATAAGCACTAAAACTAAACAATGTGCTATCCGAGTTGAGTCAGCCGCAGTAATCGAACTCCGATTTTTAGTGTTATAAGCCATCAAACTTACTGCTCATCCAGTGGGTGGGCAAAAGAGGAGTACGTGTCCGTGGCAGTTGAAAAAAATCGGTATTTCTGTATTACTGGTAACCTTAAATGTCTTGTGGAATATATTCAGTTTGATGTTTTAATTTTTGATTTGAGAAGAATGTATTTAATTCTCGTTCGAAAAAAAAACTATAGCATATCTTATGGACAATGTTCATCAAGATAACAACAACATAAGTACAGACTTTGGCTTCAGGTTTCCACGGTAAACTATCGCGGGATTTTCCGCGCGTTCTTTCAGGTTGTCCAATATCAGTATTTCAAGAGCCAGCTTCATAAAAAAAGTACATGTAGGATTCTTGTGTATATTCCAGATTTTAACCAAATCTAATCATTATAAATTTATTCTGGTTCTGGCTAAACCAGTTTTTCTCCATCAAGTGATTGGAATAATGACACGACATATAAACAGATGAAGCCCACACTACAGTTCATTAAACAGATTTGAAAACAGTATTGTTACACTACACACCCGAGTTTCCAAAGCATTCTTCACACTGGGCCACAATAAAGCCAAAGACTGGGCCTGAGCGTGTTAGGGATTACATCATTTTTTCCAAATACTGTTTTGCGTTTTTTTTTGCAATATTTCGTGGGTTTCTTTGATGTGACTCGTGCACCACTTATTTGAGGACCACTGCAATTTACAGAACAACGATCTAACAATCAAGTAAAAACTGTAGAAAAGCTGGACCGGTAAGGTTTCCCAAGATTCTTTAATGGATGGCAAAGAGAGGCAGTGAAGGAGGCTTCCAACCACCAGGCTTCAAACCCATATCTTTTTGTAATTTGGTATTTTAAGGCCTGGCATGGCCTGGCGGTTACGGGGTGAGTTTGAATCCCGATCAGTCCCATTTTTCGTAGGTAAAAAAATATCCCAAGAGTTGGCGGTGGGTGTTGTTGACTAGCTGCCTTCCCTCTAGTCTATCACTTGAAAATTAGGGACGACTAGGACAAATAACCCT